GATCCGATTTTGCAGATTTTTTTTTTAATTTTAGCGTATTTTCAAATGCCTATCGTTAATAACACAGGTCAACATTTGATCTAAGAATAATCAACGGACCTGACCAGGGCACTTATAGGTTTTTTGGATCGCTGATTCCGAATCAGAGGTTGGCTAAGCTCCAGCTAAGTTCAAGGTTATTTGAAGGTCAAATGGCCAAAAATGGTCTAAAAAATCTCAAAAAATTCATACGTATGTTTTTGGGGTAGCCGAGTTCAAAGCCGCTGCTATTTTTACCATTCAAAGACATCTAAAGGTCGTATTAAGGTCATTTGGAAGTCAAATCGAGAAATATGGTCTAAAAAATCCGAGAAAATTTATACGTTTATACCGTTAGGAACATCTGAAGGTCATTTCAAAATCATTAGAAGGTCAAACGAAGAAAAATTTGAAAAAATTTATGTACCTATATGTTTTTGAGTTTTCTGAGCTATACTGTGATGTAATCTAAAAACGTCTAAAGATCACTTCAAGGTTATTTTTTAATCAGTCCAAGGTCAATTTAATGTTTATTTAAAACATAAATTAAGATTTTCTTTTAAAATTTAAAGTGTATGTATGTTTTTGGAACCATTGGATTTATTCTTATTTCATCCTGCAAGGTCCTTAACTGGCTAGGACACGTCTTGCCTTAATTGGCTGGACACGCTTATATTTCTACCTAACTGACCGGAAAATTGCCTTAACTGGCTAGCCTCCTTTAGGTTTTCGCCTCATTCGGTCAGGAGTCGTATACGTATACATTTTTTCAGATTTTTTAGACCGATTTTCTCGGATTCACCTACAAATCGAAAATAACAGCGGCTTTGAACTCAGCTAGCCCAAAAACATACGTATAAATTTTTTCAGATTTTTTAGATCGATTTTCTCGATTTGACCTTCAAGTGACCCTAATATGACCTTCATATGACCTGCAGATGTCTTTCAGGGGTGAAACTGACAGCGGATTTTAACTCAGCTACTCCAAAAACATACGTATAAATTTTCTCAGATTTTTTAGACCATATTTCTCGATTTGACCTCCAAATGGCCTTGATACGACCTTTAGATGTCTTTGAATGGTAAAAATAGCAGCGGCTTTGAACTCGGCTACCCCAAAAACATACGTATGAATTNTGACCTTCAGATGTCCTTCAGGGGTGAAACTGACAGCGGATTTTAACTCAGCTACTCCAAAAACATTCGTATAAATTTTCTCAGATTTTTTATACCATATTTCTCGATTTGACCTCCAAATGGCCTTGATACGACCTTTAGATGTCTTTGAATGGTAAAAATAGCAGCGGCTTTGAACTCGGCTACCCCAAAACATACGTATGAATTTTTTCAGATTTTTTAGACCATATTTCTCGATTTGACCTCCAAATGACCTTGATACGACCTTTAGATGTCTTTGAATGGTAAAAATAGCGGCGGATTTTAACTCAGCTATCCCAAAAACATACGTATGAATTTTTTCGACCATTTTTTGCCATTTGACCTTCAAATGACCTTGAACCTGATGGAGCTTAGCCAACCTCGGATTCGGAATCAACGATCCAAAAAACCCATAAGTACCCTGGTCAGATCCGGTGATTATTCTTAGATCAAATGTTGATCTGTGTAATTATTGGTCTTTAACAGTCCGATAATTATTTATCTTTAAACTTCCTTTACTTATCAACTTTGTTTTTCTATTGTATGCAAAGGTAAGTGCATAAACTTATATACTGTTTATCAAAAATCAAAAACAAATTTATTTAAATATTCTGAAATTGTTTAAACAATTTTTTTCAAAATATGACGAAAATTAGTAATATAATGAGTTAATTTCTCATTTGCTTATATTTTAAACAATAAATAATATTTGAATTATACTTTAATCACAAATGAAATGATTAAATTAATAAATTAATTATAAAAAATTAATATTTTATTTACAATTTTTTGTTTTTTATGAATGTATTTTATATGTATTTATTTATATGTATAAAACTATATATTAAGAATTTAATCGAACTTTTTTACATGGGAATTCGTTTTTTTCTTCAGTATTATATTCATCAACTTCTTCATCTTCAAACTCAAAACAATTATTAATTTCCGCGTTGTCTAATACCTCATTCTCCCACTCTACTTCTTGGACATCGATTTCTGTGAAATAAAATAGTTTTTCGCCTAAAATCAACTCTTGTGTATCTTACACAATTAAATAGGAAGAAAAATAAGACCTTTTTCGATTTTTTTTAACATATTGTGCCGCCAAAGGTTAAGCCCACGTTTTTTTATGCGCATAAAAATTTTTCATTTCTAGTGATATTTGAAAGCCAAAAAGCCAAAAATCTCCGTGGATTTACGATTCACCCAAGTATGGCTTTTTGAAACAGATACCGTTTGGGTTTCAGGTTTTGTGATCTAATTATCCCACTGGAGTAAAGAGTAATTATTTTAGTCTTTTCCTGATCGGTACAATGTATGTCTGTTTTGTGTTAATAACAGCAACAAAAAACATTTTAAATTATAAAAGAAACTCAGTCTTGACTGAAACACGCGTAATACACAAATATGTAGGTATTGTCTAATGAATGGCTAATAAATGGTAGTAGCATTTAGAACGCATGCGTGAATTTCAGTCGTTCCCGCAGATGCTTCGCCCGATTTTTTTAGCCTAATATGACTCAATAGTTGCGGGGATTAATTTACTGTTTTCAACTGATTTTTTATTCACACCAATGGTAAGTTCAATTTTGTGTAAACAGACTTCATTAATTTATGAGTTCGTTTATTATTATTCTTATTATTCTTTATTCTTATTATTAATATTGTTGTTATTTTTAGTGTTACTGTTATTATTATTATTCTAATCGTTTAAATATTTATTTTCATAAAAAAAATATATAATATACTTTGTTAAAAACGTATTTTTATTTACATCAATGTTTCATTGTTTATAAATTAATTGAAAACTATTAGCTATTTATGCGCCAAGCACAATTACGTTTATTATTTTTAATATTAGTTTTATAGTTAGAGATATATGAGTGAATTTTGATTGGGTCTACATAATTGTAATACACAATTATTATTATAAATTGTTTCTTTTTTAAGAAAATCATCTTTACCTTTTACGTTTATAGTGTATAAATTATTAATAAATTTTATATTTTCATTTGCAATTTAGGTATATTAAACATTAGTTATTTTGTCTGAAAAATTTTGTATATAAAACACAGAATCAAAATGAAGATTGTTTACTGTTCCATCAGTATTTCATTATTATCATGATTAAAATATGAAATATAAAAAATCGGGTTATTGCGTTTAAAAACCATGTTTGATGCGGCCTTCGGAAACACCCCTTATTTTTCAAAAAATTTTAAAAATGTTCCTCTTAAGGCGCCTAAAAATTACTTTCTATCATGGCATAGGAGTAATATTATCACTATTGGCCCGCCCTGTATGAATATCCCTAGTAAAGGAAAAAAATATATGCAGGTATTGAATGTTGCGAACAATAATTAAAAAAGTAAATGGTTTTTAACATTTTATTTAAAAAAAAGAAAATTCAATATTCTTATTTAACTAACTAGGAAATGTTAATATATCATTAATAAAATAATATATTTTAAAATATCAAATGCAACTGTTATCGGATTAATTATTATTCACCCTATTGAACACAACAGTTTTTGGTGCCACGGTGTATATTTCCAAACAGCACTCCCAGTGCGAAATATACTTAATTATTTGAGGTGGGGCGCGAGAGAATGAGAGCGACTAATGGGGCCTTTAAGTTGCCCTTCACTGTACCTCATTTGTTTATAGAGAGTGGTCTGTTGCTTAACAACAATGGTCGTTTTACGTTCCAATTTCATAATTTTAACTGCAGTACTACAAAATGTGTTGTACGTACATGATATACACAACGTACACGAAATGTATGTATGCTACAGAAATGTTAGCGAGAATGATACATGCCCACATACGTTAATTCAGATGAGACGTAATATAGTTAATGGTGGAAAGCTGAGGGTCTTCGGGGCGTCAATTCCGGAACATTCTAAATTCTACAAGTTGAGAATAACGTTTCAAAATAAGTCGATTGGAGATTTTGATACCTGGAGGTCATTACCTATTTTAAACTGCTCCGATTATGAAGATGTATACGCAGACGCACTCATCGTAGCGTCTGAAAATACGACAACAGATTTGAATACAATTTCTGGACTTATTTACTTTATAACAGTCGCTACAATTGTATTAATACTGAAGAGTATTGCAAAAATCATTCAAAAGTATTATGGTTAATGTAGCGAAAACAGCATAAACTCCACATTTTTACCGCAGTCCTCCAGATTGACTGGTATCAACAACATACGGTTCAGTAGCGCAGCTCCTTCAAGAATTACAACCCTACCACCTCCATTGTATAATATTCAAGTTGCTATCAGGAAACAAAGGGATTAAAAACACAACTTTTGTTCTGTAAATTTAATCATTAGATGTCCAATTATTCTTCAGTATATCATAGTCAAGTGTAGCAATAGGTGCTTTTAAAGAGAGCGTAATGTCTGGTAGGAAGCCAATCGAAGTAATACCAAATTCCGTTCCTGAGGACCAATGCTGGGGAACGCCTGAAAAGGTTTGCCGAATATGTCGAAAGCGAGAACGAAACGTTATTTTTCTACCTTGCGCCCATGTGGAAGTCTGCTGGATTTGTGGAATGCATATAAAATGTTGTACTTTATGTTATAAAGAACTTTCAGCAACAGTTCGAATATGATATTAAATAACTATCCCATATACATCATGTATACACCTACCTTATGCCAATAAATAGATATAATTTTTTTTCTCGTTTCTTTTTCATATACCTATCGAGTCAGGTTGGCCGAGTGGTTAAGGCGCCTTGTTTAAGCCTTGGTTCCCAAACGGAGCGTGAGTTCGAACCCCACACCTGACATTTTTGATAGAAATGTAATTGCCTCCTGTGAGATTTGAACTCACGACCTCCAGTTTACAAGACCATTGCTCTACCACTGAGCTAAAGAGGCTCATGCTAGGTTTACTAGCAAGCCCACATATTATGCTAAAATTTTTGCTAACACTACAATTATAAAGGAAATAATATATCAGGTTACAGTTTATACTAAAAAGCAAGTCTGAACCTGTAGAAAACAGGTCTGAACCAGTAGAAAACAAGTCTGGACCTGTAGAAAACAGGTCTGAACCTGTAGGAAACAGGTCTGAACCAGTAGAAAACAAGTCTGCACCTGTAGAAAACAGGTCTGAACCTGTAGGAAACAGGTCTGAACCAGTAGAAAACAAGTCTGGACCTGTTGAAAACAGGTCTTAAATTGAGGTGACCTTGACCTCAGGTGACCTTGACCCAGACGACCAGAGGTCGATGACGTTGACGTGACCTTGTCCCCAGATGACCAGAGGTCATGACATTGACGTGACCTGGACCCCAGACGACCTGAGGTTGATGCCCTTGATGTGACTTTGACATGGCCTTGCCCCCAGACGACCAGAGGTCATGACCTTGACGTGACCTTCTTCCCAGACGACCAGATGTCATGACCTTGACGTGACCTTGTCCCCAGACGACCTGAGGTCATGTCCTTGACGTGACCTTGATCCCAGACGACCAGCGGTCGATGACCTTGACCCCAGACGACCTGAGGTTGATGACCTTGACCCCAGACCACCAGAGGTCGCTAACCTTGACGTAACTGGTCTAGAATGATGCAATACCGGATAAGAATAACACAATGCTGTTTGGAGGTCATTGGCCTCGAATGATGCAATACCAGATAAGAATGACGCAATGATGTTAAAGGAAATAATATATCAGGTTACAGTTTATGCTAAAAAACAGGTCTGAACTTGTAGAAACTTGCCCTCGAATGATGCAATACCAGATAAGAATGACGCAATGCTGTTTGGAGGTCATTGACCTCCCCTTATCGTGATTGAATTTTAAATTTACCACCAACTGGTCATGTGACGTCACTTCTATGTCGTCATGATACTTCTTGTATGACGTCACTTCCATGCCGCTATGACACTTCTTGCATGCCAACACCCACGCATCTCTTGCACAACGACAATGCCTACAAGAAGCCGCTGAAGGAGCGATGGACACTGACCATGTGTCTTTGACCCCAGGTGATCTTGACAAGACCTTGACCCCAGGTGACCTTGACCCCCAGGTGATCTTGACCCTATGCGACCTTGACATGACCTTGGGGTGGCCTTGGCCTCAGACGACCTTGCCACGTCACTTCCTGGTCCAGAACCCGCCTCATATATCTACTATTATGCAACACCTTAACATCTGAACAATGTGTAGAGACCAGGAAATACTTTAAAAATGATGAGTTCAATTTAATAAGAAAGTGTGTTTCCTTGTGACTATGTGGAGAGCTTTGACAAACTAGAGGATCCCAATTTACCACCAATCAATAAATTTTATAACAGTATGACTATGGGATCCCTTTCAGAAGAGGATTATTGTCGAGCTAACAAAATATGGAACATCTTTAAATGCAAAACTTTGAGAGAATACGCGGACATATACCTAAAATCTGATGTTCTTTTGTTAGCGGATGTTTTTGAAAATTTCAGAAAAGTTTGAAGCAATATAAGTTAGATCCCTATCACTATCTAACAGCGCCATCTTTCAGTTGGGATGCCATGTTACACTCTACTAGAGTAGAACTGGAACTGTTAACCGATATAGATTCTGTGCATTTTTTAGAAGAGGAATCCGTGGTGGTGTTGCTAAGTGTAGCAAAAGAAAAGCTGTGGCCAACAAGTTTATTCCTAATTGTGATCCTCTGAAACCGACATCCTATATTATGTATTTATATGCCACAAACTTGTACGGTGCAGCAATGAAACACCCCTTACCAACTGGAGGATTTCGACGGCTCGAGAAACATGAGGTTGAAAACTTTAATGTTTCAGATATAAATGATGATGTACATAAAGGTTATGTCTTGGAAGTGGACTTGCAATATCCAGCACATCTTCATGACTTTGGACAAGAGGGCCTTTTCTGGGTAAAATTGAATGCTCTTTCATATTTTTCGAAAACATTTGCAAAATATCAAATCGGCTATACTTTTTTTTATAAAAATATGCATAGAGACCCCTCTATCTCCACCACTGGAACTAATATGCGATGATTTTCTGTGTCAAATTATTTGCCCTTAAATACTAAGTCTTTCGCCGCAACATGATTTTTTTTGTCAGCGGTTATTTAGTTAAAAAATAAATAAGTAAAACGAAAATAAATTTGAACGCCCTGTATCTCAGAAACGAAGCGTTTTAGGACCCATATATATAGGAACTTTTAGACTCAAAATGAGGTCTTCTACTGATTCCTGAAGTCCTGCTATTTAAATGTGAGACACCCTGTATA